TATATATATATATATATATATATATATATAAGCTGAATAATAAATGCTGAAATATATATTTTTTAATTACAAATAATTTATTTAAAAAGAACTTAAAATACTTAGAAAATTTGAAATGTTGCCTTGGCAGCTAACAGAAATAAAGTTTAAGTTGAAGTACTTAAATTACTAAAACTAGAACTGAAATAAGTAGGAATTATAATAAGTAAATACATATATTAAAAGATCTAATAAAAATAAAAGCGCATTAAGTAGCAACAATATTTCATTATATTTGTTTATAATAATAATAATATGCCATGTTATTTTATTTCACTTTAATTTTACAGTTAAATCAAAATAATAACAATAATAGTACTACTACTACTACCAATAATAATACTAATAACAATAATGCACATAACAAAATTACTCATATAAAACTAAAACCTATTTCAAACGATTAATATACAGTATACTACAATAATATATGAATAATGTTAAAATAACACTGCTTCAAATGACAACAGTGGATTTGACATTCCTGCAGTTTATCAGCAGAAATGTCACACAGTCAATGATTTGTTCAGGTGAAAAATTGTTTGACGTTTATATTACTGCCCTTAATTGAACAACCTGCTCGTAACTGAGCTGGACTTTCTACATCTGTGCACATATAATAACTAATATGGTGCATTTATCAAATGCCAATTGGTTTGTCAATTTTACAGTTAAATAAAAATAATAACAATAATAGTACTACTACTACTACCAATAATAATACTAATAACAATAATGCACATAACAAAATTACTCATATAAAACTAAAACCTATTTCAAACGATTAATATACAGTATACTACAATAATATATGAATAATGTTAAAATAACACTGCTTCAAATGACAACAGTGGATTTGACATTCCTGCAGTTTATCAGCAGAAATGTCACACAGTCAATGATTTGTTCAGGTGAAAAATTGTTTGACGTTTATATTACTGCCCTTAATTGAACAACCTGCTCGTAACTGAGCTGGACTTTCTACATCTGTGCACATATAATAACTAATATGGTGCATTTATCAAATGCCAATTGGTTTGTCGTGTCCTCTGAACACTGACTGTACTCTGGGTTGTGATGGCGTTTCAGTTCAGTGCTTTCTCTCTTTGAACATTGTTGAATGTCTTTGAATGATCTTCAGTTGTTCACTAACAGCACACATGTGATGCTATATGTCAGTGTTTTAACTGGTTGAAGAGGACTTGAGGGACGTTCATATAGGATGCGTTCCTGCATTTAAAACAGTTAGAATGGAGTTGAACTCTTTTAACTAGACACTGCAACAAAAAATGCAGCGATCATACCATGAAATGCTGATTAAACTGAAAGATGCAATTACATGGCCGAAGATGTCTGTCTGACGCATGTGTACATGAACTAACAATTAAAAGGGCTGCAGACAATCCGCAAGAACACATCCTGTATGAATGGCCCTATTTCTGTTCAGATGTGCAGTTTATCAATAGTCAAATTAAATGAACATGGTGACACTTTATGCTGCCACTCTCATACCTTCGTTGTGCCCAGGGTCCAAAATATACAGCTGTACAAAAAACAAAAACAAATTGAGTATAGAATTGCCTTTGGTAAATAAAAAAACAAATAACTGGCCTAATGACCTCTAACCCTTTTAGAAACTTCAAACTACAATTTTTAAAATTGTTAAATTGTGATATTTTATTGTCACATCACAGATGTCAGTCTCTCTTATATTGTGATTTAAATCATGCATTCGATAAGAGAGACTGACATCTGTGATGTGACAATAAAATATATTTAATTACTAAATACTAACTCAATATAACAATATATACCAGTGTTATTTTAGTATCATTGATGTACTGTTACAGTTTTTGTTAATATTTTGAATTCGATTTTTATATTTTCTGTTTTCACTTTAATTTCAAAGTTGTTTATATAGTTTTTGTTAAATTTATTAATTTTAGTTTATTTGACTGGAGTGAGAAATGTTTTTTTGGCAACAAGTTACAAAAATACACACACATTTTATTTCAAGTAACAAAAATGTTTTTAACTATAATAGCACTGATATATACTTTGTAAAAAATTTAATATATTATTAAATAAATATATTAATAATATAGATGCTGTTGTTTTTTGGACCTTGGTTGTATCTGAAGCATTTTCTCTCTGTTTTCTCATTGTTTTTTGTCTTTATTCTTCAGAATCAGCTGTCTGGGAATCTGCTGAGAAAGTTCAAAAACAGCAACGGTTGGCAGAAGTTATGGGTGGTCTTCACCAACTTCAGTCTGTTCTTCTACAAAACACACCAGGTCAGAAATGTTCATAAAATATTACTATTAACATTAAATTATTTATTCATATTAAATATTATTAATGTTTCACACAAATTGTAATCGATTCTCTGAGCAGAATGTGAGTAATGTGGCAGGAGTCTTTGGCCGTATTTAATCTGAGAGTCTCTTTGCAGGATGAATATCCTCTGGCCAGCCTTCCTCTGCTGGGATACTCCATCACCATTCCCTCAGAGTCTGAGAACATCCATAAAGACTACGTCTTCAAGCTCCATTTCAAATCACATGTCTACTATTTCAGATCTGAGAGCGAGTACACATTTGCGAGGTACGGCAACCAAAATAAACCAAAATACTGAATGTTCAGAATGGAAAACTACCGTACTTCGTGATACTACGCAGTATGCAGAAGGTCCAACAAATAACCATTTTCAGAATAATAGTTAAATAGTTAAGTTTAATGAGTAAATAATCAAAATTAATATATTAAATAACTGCATATAAATATTTAGTTGTTTGAGTAACATAATATATTATACTTTTAGCTATTTTTATAGTATGTTTCCATAGTAAAAATACTCTATTACAGAAACATGCTACAAGTACTACAAGTAACATGCTAAAAGTACTACTAAAAATAACTAAAACAAAGAATAACATATTTTGTTACAGAAACATAATACAAAATATTGTTTAATGCACAGGTAGTTCCAAGTCAGTTTAATCACTATTCTATATTAATGCACTGCTTTAATTGACGCACGTGCGCACACACATCACTCGCACACAGAGATCGGAGATTGCGCTGCGAACACACAGAAACATTCAGGAGCACAGTAGCTTATTGTCAACACTGCCCCGTGACTTTTATTAATAAAATAGCTTTAATACTGAATCACTACATTATATTTCTCAGCAACGAGGAGGTAACTAAACTCACAACTTCATTGTTTGTAGAGAGAGATGCACAGATGCAGGTAATTCATACGCAACTTTCATCACCTGTCTATCTCTCTCTCTCTCTCCTTCTCTCTCTCTCCCTCTCTCTCGATCGATAAGTCATTCATTCAAGTGCTAGAATTCATTCAGAGACGTGATACATGCGCATATATATATATATATATATATATATAGACAGTCCAAGGAGTTGAGATGTTAAAACTGTTGATATTTCTTGTGGTCTATACAGAACACTAGGAATTTAATCTCAAGTCCAGTTGCATTGCATTGTGGGAAACATTATTGTGCTCCATGTTTGTTGATATGTTGTGTTGTAGGTGGATGGAGGTGATCCGCAGCGCCACCTGCTCCTCCAGTCACATCCGCTCACTGAGCCGCAAAGAGCCGCACGTCTACTGACCAAAGACCCTCGACAGCCTGCCTGAACACACACACATGTCAGGTTCTCTATCAGGTCCTCTCAACACACTTTAACATGTTTCTTATGGAAGTTTTTCGTGTGCTATATCGTTGTTTCACTTTATTGAAAAATTCAAAAGGCTTTGAATGGGCTTAGATGTAAAGTTTTGTAACGAGAATATGGATTCAGTGCCAGGAAATACACATTATCACAACATCAGGTCAAAGAGAAACACTTCCAGTTTTGCAGTTCATTTTAAATTTGCAAAAGACACAAAATCCTCGTTAGTAAACAACAGTACTCGTTCATGAAATGCAAGAACTGATTTGTGTAAATCATTCGTAAAATTTGTAAGAATGCTTTCAGGAATGATTTATTGAATTGAATGCAGTGGTTATGTTGAATGTGATGATTTATTCTTTTGAAAGTTTTATTGATTTGTATATGAGAGTGTTCTATAAATGGTTTATTGAAGGCTTTAGTGTACGTGAGACTGGTTATACTGAATTGAATGTGACCGTTTAAGCTGAGAACAGTTTTACGAACAATTTACACATTAATTTCTTGTTGGTGTTTCATGAATGAGGCCTAATGCCTGTAAAATTGGTCAGTGAAACATCTCTGGACTGTTTTTAAATGTAGTAACACTAGCCTTTTATGACTGACTTCTGGTCTGATGTTTTTAAATGGTCAATTAAGTGTTTTTTTTTTTTTTCCTTTACAATTTGCCCTGAATTTTTTATTATTGTAATGCAAACGAATATATAGTACAATTGTTAGTTTACATAATGGTATTACTTTTTGTGCAGAATTAAAATTTATCTTTTTTTCATTAAAACACTATTCTATCTTTTTCAGAAAAACATGCTTGTTGAAATAAGATTTTTTAATGCATTTTTAGGTCAATTTGCCCCATAATGGTATTACTTGATGTGCAGAATTTATTGATTTTAGTTTAAAAAAAACAACTGATTTTCACTAATGTATTACAGTAGTTTTTTGAGTTTGTCATGAAAATGTCGCAAGGGAAAAAATAAAATTTTTAATAATAATAATAATTATTGTAAATTTTTTGGGGTGAAATGACCTGTGCGTCTCAGCTCACACCAGTAGACCCAGTACTATGGATTTGTAATGTTTTAGGTCGGTTTTACGGCACATGCTGCCTTCAAGCATTTGTACCACACTCAAACCTTTCTTTTGTAGGATTTCATTTTTATACAAGTTTTGATACTAACTGTGAACCACTCCACACTAGTTTTGTGAGGGATTTACTACACAATCCCTCATAGTTAGCCATTATTCTGTCATGGTACAAGAAAAAAAAAAAAAGAAGGAAGCCAGCTGCCTTTTGTCGAACTGCTTGAGTGCCAAAATTCTTCTCTTTAACCTTTTTTTAAGCATTTGGAGCATTTTAATTCTTTCTTAATGCGCATATATATATATATATATATATA